AAAGAAAGAAAGAAAGAAAGAAAGAAAGAAAGAAAAAGAGAAAGAAAGCAAACAAAGAGAGAAAGAAAGGAACTGAAGATTCAAATCTATTATATCTCATAACTGCATGGGAAAATACAGACAGGTGAAAATGCCCTGTTTTCCTGAGATGTTTAATTTTGCGTATCACCTTGGCTAGGCTGTGGTGTCCAGTTGCTACTCAAACACCAGTCCTGATATTCTTATGAGGAGGTTGTTGGTAGACTTGTTCTCCATAATGTGGGTAGTCCTCCCCCAAGTCTTTGAAGGGCTCAAGAGCTAGGATGAGGCTCCCTGAAGAACCAGCAGCAATTCTCCCTTAACACTAAGACTGAGAAATCCTGCTTAAGTTTTCTGTCTGCTGGCCTGTCCTGTAAAGTCAGATTCGAGGCTGCAAGATCAGCTCTTACTGAAATGTCTATACTGCTAGCCTGCCTTACAGAATTCTGACTTGCCAGTCCCATAGCCATGTAAACTAGTTTACCCTTTCTCTCTTGTCTTTGTCCTCCTCCTCCCCTCCCCTGCCCCTCCACTTCCTCTTTCTTCTTTTCCTCTTTTTATATACCCTGTTACTTCTATTTCTCTAGAGAACTTTGATTAATTCAGTTATCAAACTATAGGGGGAAATAAACAAAAATTGTGCTCTTACAATCAGAGAACTGTGGGAGTGATTTACTGGCAATGAAAAATCTTGTAATAGAGTTCAGAGTGAAAATAGTATTTCAGCGTATGAAAGTTTTAAATTCTAAAAATATACTGAGGACCACACCAACATGCCAAACCTTGGTTATCATCATATTACTTTCCTGGAAGAGAAGTTCAACTTGTCATTGTACGAATCATACTTTTTGTTATCCTGGTACTAGATAATTGCATCACCTTAATTATTAACAGATCTGCCTTCTTCTGCCAGATTCATGGAAGGAACCAAGTCTTTATTATCTTGGTACCCAAATTATCTAGTATAGTGAGATTCAGTAAAGGATTACTGATTGCATGGGACTGTGGCTTTGATTTAAAATCAGATCCAATGAAAACTTAAAATTTGCCTGAATGATATGCTTTTTTCTTCGAGTATACTAGAACAGATGTTTACCTTTTAAAAAACTGAAAGCTTAATTTGAATTTAAAAGAAGAAAAAATCTTGTGGAATGTATTCTAACGCCATGTAATTATTTGGAAGTCTTTAAAATTATACTCATATAAGTAAAACGAAATTAGGAGTGAGGTGATATTTCTGTAATATGTTAAGGTAAAAATCACCCCTACAGAGAGCCGTTGGGTAAATATAATTTGGGGCTGTTTCTTACACTGATTGACTTTTTCATTTTTATTTGCACCTATAGACAGTCTCAAAACTGTTTTTGCAACAGAGTGAATGAATGTGAATGCAAATCCAAGGTAGCTGGAAAATGATGTTTAACAGTGAAATGCTTGCATTAAAATGCTGTATATTTGGCATCTGAATCATCAACTTTAGAATAAGAAATCCTGAAGAAAGAAAAGGAAAAATTTGATCCTATTTTTTCCACTTGAAAGCAACTATTTTGAACAGAGTGGCATCGATACAAAGCCCAATGTACACAGAATCTAAGGGATGATAATAGAAAGAATTCTCAGTCAGGTGCAGTGGTACATGTCTGTAGTCCCAGAACTCTGGAAGGCTGAGGCAGATTGTAAATTGGAGCCCAGCTTGGGCAACTTAGCAACTTGATGGGACCCTGTGTCAAAATAAAAAATTAAAAAAGAGCTGAGAGTGCAGCTCAGGATGAAGCTCTTGTGTTTAATCTCTAGTAAGAGGAGAGAGAGGGAGAGAGAGAGAGGGAGAGAGGGAGAGGGAGGGGGGAGAGGGAGGGAGGGAGAGAGAGAGAGAGAGAAGTTTTCAGAGCCCTGGCCATCTAAGCAAGAAGAATGCCACTGTCTCTGCACAGGAATCCTTCATACAGTGCATTTCAGGGTATAAACAAACCACTTATTTGCTGAAGGTGGGTGCCTGGCCCTAGAAACTAAAACCACCTATTTAAGCTTATTTTAACTTCAATAGACATCTCAGAAGGACTATTTCCTTGGATGTCTTATCAACTATTAACTATGTTGCTAATATATGAGAAAGGAACACACCCTGGTTTGGGAGAGGTATTTGGAGAAAGTCTTCTGTTTACTGCTCAGGCAATCTACCTTTACTTTGCAGTTGTCTGTGGGGAACATTTGGGAAGAGGCAGACAGGACCCAGTATCTGGGTTGAAGAGATGTGTGTGTCGAGACAAGGTTCATGGTGGTGACCATGTCGTCATCCTCTACAGAGTCTTGTTGTTCAGGCTCCTTTCACTTACCCCACTGGGCAAGCTACAGGAGCTAAGTCTTCATTTGTTGTAATGTGTGTTATAATTTGCCTCATTCTTGCTTCTGAATTTTGCCCCTTCATATCACCTGTCCGTCACCCACAGTACTCTTTCTTGTGCTCTCTACCTACTGAAATCAACATCTAGCATCTCAAGAATCTCTGACACACACACCTGGCATAATCTTCTCCATCTTGTAAGATAGCATGGCGCATCCATATGAATTCACCCACTGGGACTCTGACTCTTCAGTTTTGCACCAGCCACACTGGACTCCTTGCTTCTTCTTGAACACGCCCATGTCAAAGCTGTTTCATCAACTAGAGCTGTTCTTCTCTGTGGGTCCACCTTGCCAACCTGCTCATCACCTCCAGGTCTTCACTCATATGTCACCCTTCTTAGTGAAGCTTTCTTTGACAATATGACTTACAATGCCAACTTGTGGTAGGCAGCTTTGAAGATGGTGCCCAGTAATCCCTGTCTCCTGCTATTCACAGTCTTGTGTATTCCTTTCCCATTGAGTGTGATCTCCACTGACTCCCTTTTAATTAAAAGAATATTGTCAATATCGCCTCATTGTCAAAATGAGAGATCTCACATTAAGATTAGAGTAGTAAAGGACTTTGGCTCTGTCCCACCTCTCACTTGCTATCATAGAACCCAGCCTCTATGTTGTAGTTGTTTGAGGAGTGGCTTATTTGGCAAGGAGGTGGGGAAAGAGCTCTAGATAACAACCAGTGGAGAGCAGAGACACCCATCCAATTGCCCAAGAAGGAGCCATATCCTGCCTAATAACAAGTAAGAGGCCAGAAGGTGATCCCCCATCCAGAACCCAGGTGAAGCTAGAGACACCCACAGGCCCTGGGAACACTTCAATGGCAGCATGGAAGAGACTTTGACCCAAATGACCCAGATAAACCTGGATCCTGACCCACAAAAATGTGACAAAAAATGTTTTCTCTTCCAAGTCGCTGTTTTAAAATCATTCATCACACAGCAATGGATAACCAATCCAACTTTATCACTCTCCTGTCTCTTTCCACACAGTCCTTCCCCCTATTCTGTTTTTGTTTCTATTATTTGTTAACATTTGACATGCACTTTATTTTCTAACAGTAAACTTCTACTAAAATAGAAGACTCATAAAAGAAGGACTTCTTTCATGTTTTTCTTTTCTTTAGCATATCCTTGATATCTGTTCAATGCCTGGCACAAAGTAGACAATTTATAAGTATTTGCTCAATACATGAAATAGTATATTAGTCTAGGACAAATAATCTCATATTCCTCCTTCACTAGCTAAAAATTCCTCCAGAAAATAGTTTCATTGTAATAGACAACATACCACCAAGCTCTCTGGCTTTAAATACTTTTTGTCATTTAATAAATATTTTCTGAGAGAAGCAATCCATGAATAAATTAGTGAAAAATATGTGTTGTTAAGTGCAGTACCAACCAAATCAGGGAATGGTCCAGATAATCCACTCTCTTGATTTCAGGATCTTATAGTGATAAAGAACTTGGAAGTTCTATAATAAAAAAAATCAAAATGCCAGAGTTTCTGTTTACATAAGCAAAAAGTAGGTATTGCTCTTCATAATAGTAATAGTAACAACAATAACCTATTCGTTTCTCATTATTTTAGAAGCAGTACTAATGGACAAGCATAAAATCTCAATTCTGAAAAAATCACTTCTATTATGTGATATAATTGTTTATGTATACGCTTCGAAACAAAAAGACTGGTGGCAGTTGTATGGCACCTTAATGAAATGAATCAGGGTGGATTCTTGAGGCTTCGCCTTTGACTATGTTGACTGATCAAGTTTCCTACAATGTTGAAACAAATATCTGGAGAAAGCTTTGACGATACATCCAAGGGACAGAGGATTGGGGGTCCAACTGCATTCCCTGCATAAGGAGAGCAACAAGAGGTCTTTGTGGAGCCCTTCCTCTTTGCACTTTGTGTCAATATATTTCTGCTCAGGATCTGTGTATTAGAGTTCTGGTGTTGGTGGCAGTGGGAAGCAAACATGTGCATTCTGAAATTCAGCCAAAACTGAGCTTGAATTTTAGAGAAGTTATATGACCTTTTCTCAATTACACAGCCAGAAAGAGAACTTAAGCTTCATTTATAAAAACTTCTTTACAAAGAAGATTCAACAAATATAGAACTTAAGCATCCAGAACACAGCTAGCACTTGAATGCTTAAGCTCTTTAGAAATGCTTACAGTCCATGTGATGCCTGAAATAACAAAATTTCCTAAAATTAGATTTGAAGCCATATTTCCCTAGAACTAGGAAGTACCATGGAACACACTAGTATAAACTTCATACGGGACAAATCTGAACACTGTTCAAGTAATAAGCTCTACAATTTAAGAAGTAAAAAACATAGATTGTTTGGGTGCCCAATATTTACTTTAAAGGTCTTTTATATATCTATCACTTTTCCCTACAGTATACTTCTGCCAATTCCTAATTTTCAACTAATTTACATCCAAGTCTTAACTTATACTCACTACTCACCTACATAGAATGGAAGAAACATATTTTTTAATATCCTTGAAAATTCTTCTCTTCCAAGTCAAAATATTTATTTAGAAAAATGAACATAGCAGGTTGAAAGCCACTCCCACCTCAGTGTTTCAGTTTCAAATGTTGTTGTGGTCTTGTTTTGTATGAGACTAATGCTTCAGATGTACCACAATTTTCATATTCTAAAATTAAACAAGATTGCATTCATCAGTTACTCAAGGTCTCTCTCCTCTCTCCCCACATCCCACTGCTCTCTACTGATTTGAATTGAACTCTGGACTCTGTCCATTTTTAAACTTCTTTTTAGCTTAATTTCAGAAACTCCTTAAATACTTTCTATAAGGAACCATGAGAGATACTTTGTGCTATTTTATTGGTTAAAATCTAGCATAGAGAGAGGTTGGTCTACTTTTGCCACAGCACCTTAACACTGTTAATATATTCTTTTCTTTTTAGGAAGTTGTAAGGGTAAAATTGAGCAGAAATGCTATAGCTCTGTTTTCCTTAAGACCTTTCAGTCCACACAACTGGATAAGACTACAATGTACAAGATCAAAATTCATCTCTCTTATTTACCACTTAAAGCCACAATCAACAGAAACAATTTGATTGCATACGAGAGAATTCATTGTCTTCAGAGAGCTAAGATTTACAAGTCCATTACATTTCTGAATAAATTCCGCAGGACAAAAGTTCTTCTTTAAACAGAAAGTCTTTAGAGAAGCTAAGGGAAAAACAGCAGGAGAAAACTCCTTACTTCAATACATATTTAAAAAAGTCTCGAGAAATGGATGTTTTATTTTCTCTTATATTACTGCAGATGACTGTAAGAAAGAGTTAACTTATTTTTCTTTATGGGTATATAAATACATTTCAATGCTTGCAGTTATGTTCGTAAATGTAAATACACTCGTACACACAAATACACACATGCATACATATACACATATATGATCCAATATTCTGGTTTTGAAAGTGGTCATTGTATACTCCATATGCTATGAATATGACAAAGTCAGGTTGAGATATCTATGGATTTAACGGTACATAAAATCTGCTTAGTAGACCCTGTAAGCATCGTGAGACTTTTTGCCCAAAGCTTCAAAATAAATTAAGGAATATGACACCCTCTTTTATTCCTACATAAAGCACTTGGATAGAAAATTAAATTATTTTAATTACATTTAATTCAACATTGATGCTGAATTGCTGGACATAGAGGTTTCTCTGTTCCTCCACAGAGCCTAGCAAGAGCAAACCAGAGCAGGAATGACTGTGAATAGCAAAAACAGAGCAATACTTACCTTTACTCACTTTCCCCATAGAGAATCTATGAGCTGGGTGCTCTCAGCTGGGCAATGGCAAGAATGTTCTTTAGTTAATAATAAAGGAAAGAAAACCCCTGAACAACAAGAATCTGGGTTAACCATTGACACTGGTTTGTTCCTACAGTTCCACCCTGAGAATCTACATAGGTCACCCTGGCATCTCTTAAGCAGGACTTCGCCAGTCAGCTGAGACAGCAATGACCTCACTGGCTCTGCACTTTAGAAGGAGGTATACTGTGAAGGTCACTCAAGTGCATGCAGACTAAGTTTGCCCTTAGGGTAGAAAAGCGGAAGATTTCCTGGGCCAGAAGTATGCTCACCAATGCCAGTAAGTGACTCAGATATTTACAAACAGGATTGTTGGGAACCAAACTATGGAAACATTCATGCCCATTCGCAGACTTTATCTAACAAAGCAGAGACACCCTTTCACCAGAACTCTTTGTCTACGTGTTAGCAGGTGAGGGTTGGGCTTGCGTGCCAATGAAAACTGAGAAACTGCTCAGCTCCCATGCATTCCTTCCTCTCTTTAACATGGCTTTGATGAGTATTTAACCTGGGCAGGACAGTTGTTTAGCTGTGGTAAAGCAGAAAACAGCCTGGTGCTGGAAAGCTCTCCTTCCTCCAACATCAGGATGGGCGCTTGAGACTGAGATGCAAGGTAAATAAGATGCAGGCTGTGGTCCATGTCCTGAAGGTACAGTCCAACACTCTGATGGCTGTGGGCCCTAGTGGATTAAAAAACAAATGTTGAGTTGGTCACGTGGTCAGCCTAGCTTACCTGAAGGCAGAATGCTGAGTGATAAAGAAAGAGGTTGATTTATAATATGAGAGTCAAAAGCAAAATCCAGAAAACATGAAGGCAGCCAGGAGGAACTAAATCAACAACAATCCTGAGCTCTGCAGAACCCACAGGGAACTGTATCCAGGAAAGCTCTATGGGAGTATTTTGCTGAACAGGAATTACTATTTTCCTTTACCCCAAAGAGTATTTGCAGGCAGGGGATCTAGAGGAACATTGTTTTATTTAGCCCTCTGAATTTAAGGGGCATTTTCTAGATCTGACACTTTTTGTTGTTTTGGAGGTGGTTTGCTTTTGGTTTCCATTTTTATAGCATGGATCTTTAAGAAAGTAGGAATAGATTTCAATGTTGGTGTTGTCCTTTACTAGCTAAGTGACATTGGAACTGGCTTAACCTTTATGTATCCTGGTTTCCTCATCAGTAAAGTGGGGATGATATGATGACAAAAATAATAGCAACAACAGCATCAGTTGATAATAATCAGATGATGATAATAATAGCAACAATAGTACCTACATCAGGTAGATAATCAGTGTTCCAGGCTGTTACTATTGTTAAGGTTTTGACATTCTGATGGGATTACAGGTTTTGCAAACTGTTGGACAGAACAATCTAAACCTTTCAAAAGATTTAACTTTTCAGTCACCCGTAAATGTCAAGGAAGCAGTAGACCTTTGCTTTCACTGCAAAGAAATTCAAAGATGTGATACATATCTACATTGTCATACTAATAAACATCTCTCATTGTGAAGTGCCCATAATAAGTCAGGCTTGTTTGTTAAGTGACTATTATAATTATGCCGCTTGTCAGAAAGCTGGGATCCCTTTAGTAGTGGTCCATCCCCAAGGACTTTTAAGGAGCCCAAAGACGTACCTGTTTCCCGGCATGCTGGAGGGACAATTCAGGGTAGTTTGCTTTGTTTGTGTGAGCACTTGCGTTGCTCTGAGGCAGGAAACATCCACACACAACACGGAAAAGAGCAGAATGGAAGGCAAGATGGGGATCCTGGAGAGCTTCCCGACTCCAGCTGAGTCAGACCTTCACAGCATGGCTTCATTCCTTTGTGGGAAGTGAATTCTGGGAATATCAGGCACACCCGTGTGCAACAGGTAAGTAGAAAAAACACTTTCCAAAGCCAAATGGAAATGAAAACTGGCTTTCTGGATTGGCTTTTCTATTCCGTGTTCCATATACCCTCAATTTACCTTCAGTGAAAATTGACATTATTGAAGCTCAGCTTTTGTGACCTGCATTTTTCCCTGACACAGAAAGAGAAACTAAGGCCAACTGAAGGGGCGTGTTTGTGTGCAGAATTGTGAAATTATAAGATGATGAAAGAATTCATTACTTAAATGCCTGTCCCCTAATAATAAATAATTATTAAAATAAATGATTCTGTTTTTAAATAATCTGTTCTTTATTGCTGTCCAACAATTTCAGTAATGGTTTGGGAAATATCACGCTATACAAAAGAGCTGTCCACCATACAGAATTGACCTATTACTCTTCTGGTTCTAGCGTTAGCAGAATACAACTTGTTTCCAGTTTTTGAGAGAACTGAGCCAAGAATGGTTTTCACATTTTTAAGTAGTGAAGAGAATAAAATTAAAAGAAGAATATTTTTGACATGTGGAAATTATATGAAATTCAAATGTTAGTGTCAATAAATAAAGTCTATGGGAACACAGCCAGGCTATTTATTTTCACATCGTTAATGAAAGCTTTCACACTACGATGACAAAAATCAGGGGATCTCGAGGTCTCAACAGAGGCCATGGCCCTTAAGGCTTGAATATTTAGTATCCATCCCTTAACCAAAACTTTTTACCAATCTCCATGCCAGCTAAACTATAAAATTCACTATTCTCCAAAGGCAATGTTACTCTTGTCTGATTCATTATTTCTTCACTTGGTTAACTCCAAGTGCGTTTCTATAATTTACAAGCCTATTATTGTAGTTGGGATCTGAAATGTCCCGCAAAGGACCATATGTTACAGACATGGTCGCCAATCTGTGACACTATTGGAAGATGGTGGAACCTTTAGGAGGTGGGGTCTTGTTGAAAGAAATAGGTCACTCCTTGAAGGGGATATTGGGACCATGGTCCTCTCGCTCTCTCTCTCTCTCTCAGCTTCCTGGCCATCATTAGCTGAGCAGCTTTGCTCCACTATAAGCTCCCACCATGATATGCAGCCTCACCACAGGCCCAAAATCAACAGAGCCAACCAACTATGGACTGAAACTTTTGAAACTCTGAACCAAAGCAAATATTTTCCTCCCTTAAAGTTGACTTATTTTAGGTATTTATCACAATGATGGAAAACTGAATAATGTACCTACATTCCGTTCAAAATTTCTTTTGGTAACTTTTCCCTTATCTTCTATAACCATCAATCAATAATTTATTTAAAAGTTAATTTAAAAGAATAAAATATTTTAAGGTACTCTTTCTTTAAATCTACATGTTATAGTTCTTGGTTGCACTTCTTATTCCCTTCATCAAATTTTAAATACTGGTAGGAAGGAACTGTCTGAATGTTACCCATCTTTGAATACAACAAGATGTAAAGGAGAAAGGTAGGACTCCATAGCTAATAAGAATCAAATGCTCTTCTGAATTAGGCAAGCCTTTCATATCAAAGCCATGAAACTTTTATTAATTCCTGTGTTTATTTGTTTATTTATTCTCCTGGATTCTTCTTATTTCAGTCTCCAATAAGCTTCCATTACATTCGATGGCTGCCTCTCCCACCCCTCCAGAAGCACAAGGCGCTCTTGCTGCACCGTTACTCCACCCAACATGCCACTTAATAGCCATGCCTGACTTGACCTTTCTCCATCATCATCGCAGCAAACCTTGACATTTTCTTTCAGGGTGTCTCATTTCCACTGGAAGGACTGTGTGTGTTTTGCTATATTCCAAACCCTTAAAAAATAGATACCAAGAACCGAAGAGAAAATGAAAAGTGAGCCAACTTGAAATTTCTTCTTCCAAGTGCAATCCAGGTCAGCATTTTAATAAGATTATGCCTGATAGTTCAACAATGATCCCATCAAAGGAGGTAAAATTGGCTGTATCATTTGAAATAGTCTGATATACTGAATAATACTAACAGGTTAAAAGATAGATTATTCGGGTCAGGGAAGAGGGATGGAATGGAAAGATATCTTCAAAAATTATTCCTGGATTCTAAAATTATATAAGTATTTATTATAGATACTATAAATAAGAGTACAAAAAAGCTAATAAAAATTAAACCTAATCCTTCATTTGCTTTGGCACAATTATTTCCAATCTTTTCCCCAGTGCTTTCACATAAAATATTTTATTTGAATCTTGTTTTTTAACCTTTAAGGATCTCTTGTCGTAAGACAAAAGAATGCATTTGTAATCATGGCCTTCCTAACACTGAGGAGATGAGGGCCAAGCTGATCTTTTGGAACATACATCTTGGCTTGCCAGCAGTCTCCAATCATACTGTGCTTACTGATAGGATTTTCTTTCTTAATTTTTTTGATATTAGCCAAAACAAAGAAAGAACATTAGGCAAATTCTGCACGAAGTACTTGTGATTTGAAAAATGATCAGGCTCCTTAAGGAAGTGTGCCTTCCGCAGGAATGAGAACTGTACCAAAGACGATTGGCTTGATTTCAAAAGACACTCTCATTGTAAACACTAGTTTGCTTTTGTTAATTCTGTCTTTGTCTATCTAGAAGATCTCAGATCATTTCTTGGATATTTCATGTTCCAAACCCCTAACTGACTTCATTACCACAATGCTTGTTTCATTATGCAATATCTGAGGGAATTTATTTACCTGCATCATTTTCTCTATTAGTCCCTTTTCATGCAGACACATAATCCTTTCCTTCCCAACTAATAACCATCTTGTGCTAGTTCAAACTTTAGGAATGATTGTAAAAAGGAAAGCCGTCCGTTGCCTCACTCCCATCCAAGGCATTTTTTGTAATGCTTTCCTTCCCCCCAAAATAAGAATTAAAAGTGATATTTCTTTTGACAGCTCGTAACTAATCCCACTTTTGCAGGAAGGAGAACAGGAAGCCAGCAAAGGAATTTTCCATTCCTGTCTCTTTTAATTTTTTTCCACATCAGGTACTTTTCAAGATCTAGACATTTCCAGTTATTTTGTATATATTCTTGTTTTGTCTACCATAGTCACATGTTCTTTAACTTCTTCTGGGCAGATGAGAAACCTGACTGAGCCTCTGTTTGTATTTGGAGGAGAAAGAACTTGAGAACTTTTGAATTTCCAAAGGGACTCCAGCTGAAATGTGATGCCTGTGTTTGTGCAAACAGGCATTTTTTTTCCCTTTGAGAAGATAAAGTTCACACAGTTAGTCCATCTGACCACAAATCCAAA